ATATTATTCAATAGTGTGTAGTGTGATATATTTATATAATAAAATGTGTGAATCATCACTGTACTCAAAATTATGGTCAGCATATTATTGATTCAATTATTATGTTCATAAAACAATAAACAAATACTTTAGTCGGTTATTGCACTATATACACAGGTCATATTACCTAAGTGTAATTACCTAAGTGTAGTTACAGGATGAGAGCTACGCTCGTGGTGTCCCGTCTTCCCAGCACTCTTTGTCATATAACGCTTTGAAACTACTGACGGTCTTGGCCTCCACTACCTTCTCACTTAACTTGTTCCAACCGTCTACCACTCTATTTGCGAAGGTGAATTTTCTTATATTTCTTCGGCATCTGTGTTTAGCTAGTTTAAATCTATGACCTCTTGTTCTTGAAGTTCCAGGTCTCAGGAAATCTTCCCTGTCGATTTTATCAATTCCTGTTAATATTTTGTACGTAGTGATCATATCACCTCTTTTTCTTCTGTCTTCTAGTTTTGGCATATTTAATGCCTCTAACCTCTCCTCGTAGCTCTTGCCCTTCAGTTCTGGGAGCCACTTAGTAGCATGTCTTTGCACCTTTTCTAGTTTGTTGATGTGTTTCTTGAGATATGGGCACCACACAACAGCTGCATATTCTAGCTTTGGCCTAACAAAAGTCATGAACAATTTCTTTAGTATATCGCCATCCATGTATTTAAATGCAATTCTGAAGTTAGAAAGCATAGCATAGGCTCCTTGCACAATATTCTTTATGTGGTCCTCAGGTGATAGTTTTCTATCTAGAACCACCCCTAGATCTCTTTCTTTATCAGAATTCTTTAAAGATTTCTCACATAATATATAGGTTGTGTGGGGTCTATGTTCTCCTATTCCACATTTCATAACATGACATTTATTAACATTAAATTCCATTTGCCAAGTGGTGCTCCATATACTTATTTTGTCCAGGTCTTCTTGAAGGGCATGACAATCATCTAAATTTTTATCCTTCCTATTATCTTAGCATCATCAGCAAACATGTTCATATAATTCTGTATACCAACTGGTAGATCATTTATGTAGACAATAAACATCACTGGTGCAAGAACTGAAACCTGTGGTACTCCACTTGTGACATTTCTCCATTCCGATACATTGCCTCTGATTACTGCCCTCATTTTTCTATCAGCCAGAAAATTTTTCATCCATGTTAGAATCTTACCTGTCACCCCTCCAATATTTTCCAGTTTCCAGAACAACCTCTTATGTGGAACTCTGTCGAAAGCCTTTTTTAGGTCCAGATAGATGCAGTCAACCCAACCATCTCTTTCCTGTAATATCTTTGTGGCTCGATCATAGAAACTGAGTAAATTCGATACACAGGATCTTCCAGATCGAAAACCATACTGTCTGTCTGATATTATATCATTTCTCTCCAGGTGTTCTACCCATTTAGTTTTAATTAGTTTTTCCAATACTTTCACTATTACACTTGTTAATGATACAGGTCTATAATTGAGGGGGTTTTCCCTGCTGCCACTTTTGTAGATTGGAACTATGTTAGCCTGTTTCCACACGTCTGCTACGATTCCTGTACACAGGGATGCCTGAAATATCAGGTGAAGTGGAAATGCTGAGCTCAGATGCACATTCTCTCAGAACCCATGGTGAAACGCCATCTGGGCCAGCTGCTTTGTTCTTACTGAGCTCCTTTAGCATATTTTCCACTTCATCTCTAGACACCTCTATCCGCTCTATGTTGTTTTCTGGAATTCTTATTGTGTCTGGTTCTCTGAAGATTTCATTTTGTACAAACACACTTTGGAACTTTTCATTTAATGTTTCACACATTTCCTTTTCATTTTCCGTGAATCTGTTTCCCATTTTCAACCTCTGGATATTATCCTTTACCTGCAATTTGTTGTTTATGAATTTGTAGAATAGGCCCGGTTCTGTTTTACATTTATCCGCTACCCCTTTTTCAAAATTTCTTTCTGCCTCTCTCCTTACTGCCGTATAGTTGTTTCTCGCATCTTTGTATCGCTGGTATGTTTGGGGGTTTGGCCTCTTCCTATACCGATTCCATTTTTGTGTCTTTTGGTCTCTTGCCCTCTCACAATTTCTGTCGAACCAATCCTGTTTTCTGGCCCTGCCTCTCTGTTTTGGTATGAATGTGTGTGTGCCTTCCTCGTATATTTTTAAAAATTTGGCATACATTTCATTTACTTCCCTGCCTAGCAACAATTCTGTCCAATTACACTCATTAAAAAAATTTTGAAGTTCCCCATAGTGTCCTCTCCTTAAATCGAGTTTATCAACTGTTTCAATGTCCCCATTTTCTTCTAGATGATATCTTAAAGCATAATCAATGTCTAACAGGACGTGATCACTCTTTCCCAAGGGAGGAAGGTACTGGATGTCAAATATCTCTTCTCCTTTCCTGGTGAATACTAGATCCAGTACTGACGGTACATCTCCTTCCCTCATTGCACTTGCAGATATGCAAGTATCTGCATGTTTTGTTCACCATAACGAACCACTAAGTTGATATGGTGAGTCAAAAAACAATGAGGAGTGGCCACAACATCTGCCAGATGTATACACAGATGTATACTACACATTTGTCAGTTGAAACTTTAATAAACAGCAAGCTGTTATCTTAAATGGCTAGCTTTTATATTTTATATTAATATCCTTAACTCTGTTCAGCAAATCTAGTTTGTTTGTACTGTATTGATAATTACACTTACAATTTTAGAAAAGTATTAAAACACTAGCAGATATATGAGAGACACTACTAATACCAACGGTTGTGACTGGGATTATATTTCAGTGGGTATAAATAGGAGCTGCCTTATATGGGCCAGTGGACCTGTAGTTTCCCTCATTCTTATGTCCTTGCAGATAGTAAGTCACAATAACATAGCCACACCTAAGCCACACATCTAAAAACAAAGGATGTGTTGACATTTTGGTCTATCCTGGATCATTATCCTTACATAAAGGGAAATACTGTGTATATTTTTGGCAGACCACACGTGGGAGCAAGTCTTGTGAAGAGAGGAACGTGAACAATGATCATCGACAGTGACATCAATAAAACAAAACCAGAATAATGGCTCATTCTTCCTACAGAAAAATACAGCAAACATAACCAATACAGTAACTTAAATTAGTATTAACCCTTAAATGGCGCATAGCTATATACCATTTGACACCCACAGGCGCATACCAAAAAAAAAAAAAAAAAAAAAAAAAAAATTATTTTTTCTTCCTAACCTGTTAATTTCTGTTCACTGATCACGGGAAAAATAATAATAAAATCGTAAGTGGCATATATTGCCCACTATAGGGCGGGGAAGTGTGACAGAAATCAGGCGCTGACTGAGCGTGCGTCCCAGGCGGTCTGTTGATCGCCAGCTGTCAGGCCAGAGTTTCCACAAAGAGATAATTACCTAATTATTTCAATGTCTCTGATTGATTTCTCGTAGTTTTTTTGCTGTAATATTATTCAATAGTGTGTAGTGTGATATATTTATATAATAAAATGAGTGAATCATCGCTGTACTCAAAAATATGGTGTGCATATTGTTGATTCAATTATGTTCATCAAACAGTGAACAAATACTTTGTCGGTTATTACACTACATATACAGGTTATATACAAGTATCTGGATGTTTTGTTCACCATGACAAACCACTAAGTTAGTATGCTGAGTGGCAGTGGCAGGCAGTGACTGGCTGCCACTGGCTGCCACTCCCTCCCTCACCTCACCTGCCTTGCCACCATTCTCCACCCACCATACTGTTTTTGCTTTTATATACAGACGTTATATATAAGTATTTACATGTTTTGTTCCCCATAACTGTACATCTAAGCTTGTATGGTGAGTAAAGGCAGAGAGACGTAGCTACTCACACAGTCAGCTGGTGGCGGCTGCCCTCAAGGCCAGACGCACTAATATTTCTCCTACAACAATACTGTTTGTGGTGTTATTACGCTATATACACACATTATATATAAATATCTACCTGTTTTATTCACCATACTTGTACAAGTAAACTGGTATGGTGCCCAAAGACCATCGTGGTCATCAGTAAACAACATGATAAGTCCTGCAGACGACGCTCCTCCCTCACCAAAATGGCGGCTCCCAACCTCCTACTCTCGCTGTTATCTCACACTATACACACGTTATATATAAGTATCTACATTTGTGTTCACCATAGCGAACCACTAAGCTGGTATGGTGAGTGCAGTCAATAAAAGGTGGCCACACACACTCAGAAGACAACGCCACCATCCTCCCTCCCACAGCATTGCTCCTCCCTCCATGGTGCACAGTGCCAAATATCACCACAATCCTGCTATTATCTGAACCCTGGTCAGTTTTATCACAGTCAGGGGTCTTCTGTAATAATATCATCGCTACATAATAGCATGAACAAGTATATTATGGCATTTTTAGGCGATGCTGTGGTCACAAGCTGAACAGCAGTGCTGGGAGCTCATGCTGTGTGCGTCAGGCTTGGTAGCTCACTCAATACTGAGGCCTCTAACACCCTGGAGTTTGGCCCACGATTTTTTTAAAAAATGGCGTCTGTTTACAAGAGCCCTGATGAAGGTGTGGTGAACCCCGTGTATCCGCGGGCCGTTTATATCTTGCGTAGTACTCCAAAGCATCATATGATGCGATGCGCAATTTACTGCAAGTCGGTCAAAGCATCATATGATGCGATGCGCAATTGAAGGGTTAATTATTGTTTTGGCTTATACCTCATTTATTTAGTATAATCAAATCTAGTTTCAAATACACTTCAGATTTTCCATTACAACATTAAGAACATACAATAAAAATAAATAGATCAATACAAGTTTAAATTTTTTAAGTAAATAACAGAGGGCACAGTTGGCTGCGATAACAAATTGTTCAACGACAGTAACCAAGTATTTAAAATATGCCCAAAATTATATTTAAAATTTTTCCCAACCTTAGATTAAAATAAGCATTAACCTGTTGCTTCCATGGATATGCTTGAAGCTCCTGCATGACAATGGAGATCCTGTTCAGTAGCTGGGTGCGGTGGCCCTTCCGCATGATGCTACGTCCACTGCAGAACAACAACACCTGGTTAATGTTTTACTACACAATCCTCTAACCACAGAATGACAGCACAGTAATTTATTTATGTAAATATAAGCAAGAAGATATCCAGGGTTGTGAACGTGCAAATTTTGGTCAATAAATTAGACAGGCTTGCAAAGCCGATAACACACACAGCCTTTTGGGTTCGATTCTTGTTATGCAAATTGCACTGCTCAACTGCTCAATGTGGAATACACATACATTGTAAACTTATTAGACACAAAGTTCCATCCACTGTGGAACAACAGTAAATGGCTTATGCACTATCAAGTGTGGAACAACAGAACAGTCTATACATCTAACATATAATGCTCCAGCTACTATAGTGGGTAGCTGATACATCTTACTCATCACCTTGCTACTTCCTTACACTTGCTTGCCACACACACACACACACACACACCACCTAGCTGCTACCCCTCCCCAGCACCTTGCGGTTACTCCTCCCCAACATCTAGTTATTTTATTAACCAACACCTAGCCGCTATTCTTTCTCATTACCTGGCCACATACCCCAACACCTAGTAGGTTGCTACTTATTCCCAGCCAGTACTTCCAACCCTGTACCAACAGCAAGAGGCATGTGACATGCCTGGGAGTGTATATGGTCATGGAGACAGCATATGCTAGGAGGTCTGCCGCTCTGCCTGTGCCAGCCACCACCACGATGGGAATGGCCTGCCTGAGAGCCATAGCACACTTGTCAATTGAGTTGACCCCCCCATCTAGCAGCAGGAGCACAATTGGCACCCCCAAACCTTCCGGCTCTGGTTTACGGACACCTTCCTCTAGACGAGTCCTGAAAGGCATAAAGGCACGAGCACTAAATTAGAATAAGTCTTATTGTCGAGGACAGGAAGTGTGTACAGTACTTTGGTTTATCCAGGATCCCTAGTCCAACTACTGACCTTCCACAGGATGTAACCCACAATAGTTGCTTAATTCATGGGTACCTACTTACTACTAGGTGAATAAAGACATCAGATGAAAGGAAATACTGTATATCCAATCATTTCTGTCCTTTCCAGGAATTAAACCAGGAGTCCTCAGTTGAGAGAAGAAGATGCACACAACTGTACTACAGAGGGAAATTGTTTTTCATTGACAAGCTGCCAGCTTCCTGGCAGCTTGATCAAGTAGTCCCTATCGGGGCCACTTGAGATAATGGTTCTTGGGTAAATTCAGGTAAATATATTTTCCTCCCTATCCCACTATTTATTTGTTTAGTTGTCCCATGTTAAATGTAGAATAAATGAACCTATAGTTTTGAAATTAAGTAATTACTGTACCTGTAATTACCTAAGTGTCATTACAGGATGAGAGCTACACTCGTGGCATTTCATCTTCCCAGCACTCTGTCATAACGCTTTGAAATTAATGACGGTTTTGGCCTCTGTTACGACCCTGGGTTCCTCAAGTGGAAACCAGAGGTCAAAATTGAACTAAATAAGCTACGCTAGATTAACAAGACGCAAGTCGATGTGTGTCTGTTCGTATCTTCCCTGCCAAACATAGGACGAATCTTGTTGCTCACAAGCATTCAAACTTTTGAGCTTGTTGTGGATTAAGTATAACATTGTTATAATATTAACTACCCTGAGAACGAGGAAAGTAACAATATGTTGCATAGGGGTAGATTTTTAATGTGTTTAGCTGCACGATCAATTAGGCTCCTCCCGGCACCACCACAATGCGGGAGGCCTGAGCTGGTCGCTGGAAGCGGTCTTCTCTGGCTGGCGTTCGTGGTGTCGAGACCTACTCTGTGGATGCACCTCTACTCTGTGGCTACACCTCTCCTCTTCTCCCTTCTCCTCTTACTTATTTCCCTTACCTGAAGTTCCTGTACCAGTAAGTTAAGTACGGTGTGTTTTAAGTGTACCTACTCTGGTAGTAACGATTGGTGAGACCTGGGGGTTGTATTTGCCAGTGTTTTGGGTACCCCCTAAGTGTTGTGTTTTTGTATTAGGGTACCACGTGGTCTCACTACCCTAAGCTGCATCCAGCTTCAGTGCTTATCCAGTAGTACTTTACCCTAGCTTGTTCACAGTGTAAACCCTGTATCCTGTTTATGTGGACCAAGGCTTTTAACGTAAGATAGTGTGGTAAAGTAATTATTATTATTGTTATTGGTGTGAGTGTATATGGGGGATTGTTAAGGGGTTAATAAATAAGTAAGTAGTAATGGAGTATCCCTTCTTCCTGTGTGGGAGTGCTAGGATCAACCTCTAGTCGGACATGGTCTAGTAGCAAGTTATTATTACTGTGAATAGTTTATTTTGGGGGTCAGGCCTTTTAGTTCTCCCATATTTGATAACTCTGTATTCTAACTACCCTTACCCCTTAATAGTACTAGTTCCCCCATAGCAAGTCCACTATTCCCATAACAGCCTCCACCACCTTCTCACCTAACTTGTTCCAACCATCTACCACTCTGTTTGCGAAAGTGAATTTTCTTATATTTCTCCGGCAACTTTGTTTAGTTAATTTAAATCTATGACCTCTTGTTCTTAAAGTTCCAGGTCTCAGGAAGTCTTCCCTATCAATCTTATAGATTCCTGTTACTATTTTGTACATAGTGATCATATCGCCTCTTTTTCTTCTATCTTCTAGCTTTAGCATATTTAATGCTTCTATCCTCTCCTCGTAGTTCTTGTCCTTGTAATTATCTAACGTGCAAAATGAGAACTATGCTCATGGTGTCCCATATTCCCACACTGTCATAAACACCCCTTTGAAACTACTTACGGTTTTGGCCTCCATCACCACCTAACTTAACTTGTTCCAACTGTCTACCTCTCTGTAAAAGTGATTTTCTAATATTTTGTTTTGCAGTTTTGTATAGTTAGCTTAACTCTGACTTCTTGTTCTTGAAGTTCCAGGTTTCATGAATCCTTTTTTATCAATTTTATCAATTCCCATTACTATTTTGAATATAGTGATCGTATTGCCTCTTTCTTCTCTTTTCTAACTTTGGCATATTTAATGCCTCTAACCTCTACTTGTAGCTTTTATCTTCCAGTTCTGGAAACCATTTAGTTGCATATCTTTGCACCTTTTCCAGTTTGTTGATGTGCTTCTTAAGATATGGGCACAATACAACTGCAGAATATTAATTTTGGTCTAACAAAGGACATGAACAATTCCTTTAATATTTCACCATCAATGTATTTAAAAGCAATTCTGAAATTGGAAAGCTCCTCGGCATAGGCTCCTCGCACAATGTTCTTTAAGTTTGGTGACTTTTCTATCTAGAACCACCACTAGATCCCTTAATTTATCTGAAATTTTTAAAGCATTTTCACATAATTTATAGGTTATGTGTGACCTATTTTCTCCTATTCCACATTCCATAATGTGGCATTTATTCACATTAAATTCCATTTGCCAAGTGGTACTCCTTACACTTATTTTGTCCTGGTCTTCTAGAAACACATGACAGGCATCTAAGTTTCTTATCTTCTTTTCTTATCGTATAATTCTGTAATCCTTCTGGTATCATTTTCATAGACAATGAACTGAACTGAAGAAGTGAACTGGTACAAGAACTGAACCTTGTGGTATTCCACTCATGACATTTCTCCAGTGATACATTGCCTCTGATTACTGCCCTCGCATTGTCAGAAAATTTTTCAACCATGTTTCATGTTGGAAGACTCCCTGTCACTCCTCCAGTATATTTCAGAAGCTTCCAGAACAACCTATTATGTGGGACTCTGTTGAAATCCTTTTCTAGGTCCAGACAAATGCAGTCAACCTAATTATCACTTTCCTGTAAAATCTTTGTGGTTCTGTCACAAACACTAATTACATTTATTACACAGAATCTTTTGGATCAAAAACCATACTGGGTGTATTATATCACTGCTCTTCTAGTGGATGAAGCCCATCCACCAGTCTTCAGTTTAAGAGGCCTCATAATGGGATCTTTTAGCACAGTGGTCTCACAATCCTTGTCTCACAATTGAAGGACCCAGGTTCAATCATTGGGGAGGATAGAATAGTGGTTGAGGGCATTGTCTTTTCCCTAATGCTTCTATTCACCCAGCCCTTACACAAATGTGGGTTACATCCTTGGGAGGTCAGAAATATGACTGGGGGACCTAGAAAAGCTTAAGTACATGCTTCCTGCTCTTGACAATGGGAATTACTGTGAGTGAATGTGTAAATGATTTTAAGAATACTAACACTTAATGTGAGGAAAGGAATTCAGTACAATGATGTGATACGAAGCATTTCTTTTTGTTTTAGAAAAACTAATAGAGGAATAGGTTTTTAAAGTAACAGCCAAGTTAAAGGAAATCTGAGGTAAAACCAGCATTGAATGTAATGAAACGCCATTTTCTGGGTGAGCCCTGGAGGCTCCCTGGAGCTTATCGAGCTAATGTATGTTATATTAGACCGGGACATTAGCTATGGAGTTCAGACCTACCAGGGATCAGCGCCAGAACCTGGCCCCTTCAGAGAGGTTTCAGGGAGCAATGGCCCTGGAAAACCCCCTTGTGGTTGGGGTTTTCCTTATCTGCCATTGACCGGGGTCAGGCACCCAGAAAGGTAGGCATAACAAAACAAAACTCACATGGTAAAAAACTAAAACAAAAAAACGAACAGTGAGGAAGAAACTCCCTACAATCCCAAGGAAACAAGCAAACATAACACTTTACTGCCATGCCGATCGTCCGCGCAGCCCTCCCCGCCCTAAGAAGGGAAGGGGGGAAAGCCCCGGACCTACCGCGCCGGCTGCCTAGCTTCAGTTCAGAAGCTAAGTTTCAACCAACGCGAAAAAACCACCAACTGGTTTTGCCAGGGAGCCTCTGGGGCTCACCCAGAAAATGGCGTTTCATTACATTCAACGCTGGTTTCCTGTGGGGCGCCCCTACGGCTCCCTGGAGCTTCATAGCCAAAGAGAAGGAAAAGAAAGGGCTGACCCAGGAGGCGGCCGCCACAAACTCCGCAACGCGAAGCCAAGACAACAGACTGCAACCTGCAACCCAAGGCAACAAGAACACACAGGAGCAGACGCGCATAAAGAATGGGCGGCCAAGAACCTGTGCGACCCTCAAATCCCTGCGCCTGAAATGAGCCCTAGACTTCAACACACCAGCAAAAGCTGTAAACGTCCGAACAGCACGGGCGCATAGACAGACCGCAGGCTGGAAGACTGAAAAACTCTGCGGATGACCTGGAAGACCTGAGCCCTGAAACAGGGAACGAGGGGAACTTGATCAACCCAAAGTGCATCCCCCAGACACGGTACACAGATATCGTCAAAAAGCACAACCGGACAACACAGGACGCACCCCCGGCCGAACCAATCAAGCATCAATAACCCAAGAACCCCTCCAGAAAGAAGCCATCTCGACCATCCAGAAACCAGAACCGAAGAGGCTACCACAAACTGAGGAGAAGATAAGTAGGCACTCTGATTAAGGACCAGGACGGCTCAGGCGACGCATGAGCAGGCCGGAGGTGAAACAAAACACGAGAAAGCGTACGAAACGGGGCAGATGTGACGTCCACCCTGAACGCAAGCCAGAGCAGCTCCGCCAGCGCCACACAAAACGAGGCGACAGTAAGAAACATCAATTAACTGTAGTCCTGAAAACCGAAGAAAGGACAAGACAACCCAATGCGAAGAGCAAGAAAAAGTGCATAGAAACACCAGGAACGTCATACTGACACCAGGAACGTCATACTGTTTCCAAGACGAAGCTCACAAGTGGGACACCGCCAACAAAGCCACCTGATCACCACAGAGATGGTGATACCCGCGTCAAATTACCAGACACGAAGAGCCGAGGA